AAATTTTTTTATTTTTTTATTCGTAAGATGTCTCGTACGATCTTCTGATTAACTATAATAAGAATTGTTAATTAAACTTTTCAAAACTCTAGAGAAATCTTAACTTCAATATCTAGAAACCACTATTTAACTCTTTCAATAAGAGTGAGAAAGAAAAAATTAAAAAATATATATAACTATAGTTTAATACATTTAAATTTTTAAGTGCTTATGATTTACGAGGTACAATCGTCTATGATTTATTTGAACACGTCATTAATAAACATTTATACCTAATAAAATTAATAGCTTTTTAATGACTAATAATAGTACATGTTTTTAATTAATTAAAAGTGAGTCACTCTAACTTATATGAATGTATATACCCTCATTTACCGCTTTACTATAGGTATGCACACTCCCATTTTACTTTCTGTATAGGTATTGTCAAGTTGCCATTTACATTTATAAGTTTTTTGATTGTTTGTGGTTAAATTTTTAATATTTAGATATCATATACGACATATGTTTTTGTTATCTATGACTAATTAATATTTACCTAATTATGTTAGATACTTTTTAATAAAAAAATAACAACGGACCTGTGTTATATAAAGATTCATTCATATAATAAAAATAGAGATAAAAATTTTGAATATTATTAAATACATATTAATATATAATACTTTATTCTTAAATATATACCACAATTGCTTACAAATAAATATCATTTTACCCAATGTATACTAATTAAAATTATCTTTAATAGGATGATGAGGATTCAAAGGTTGGATGGATCAAAACTTCAAAATAGTAATAATAATAATAATAATAAATAAATAAAAGATGGCAAGGTTGCTTGAATATTAAGCTATGTAGATATTTAACTGTTCATCATGATCTATGCGGCTTAATTAAAAATTTCAAAAATTGCCTTTTTGCAAGCTTTTTTGTGACAGTCCACATTCTTTTTATTTCATAATTCATTCAACTTTTTTATTTTTTTAAAATAATATTTAATAAATTTCAAACAAATCAAGTACCACATACATTAATTCTATATTCCCAATGTTTAAAATAGACAATCATGATATATAAAGCATTCAAGATTTTAATCTTGTCAATAACACAATAATACAGTGGCTAAATTTATTTGATTACACTCAAAAGTTATGAGTTTGAATATTATTGATAACATAGGGTTTGTTATCTTATTTGTATGTTATAAGTTGATGGTGATTAACCTGTAATATTTGATTCAATAAAATTTATAATTTAACTCACTAGTGCATTAATATAAAAAATTTAATTTATTATTTTTATAGGCAGAATAAATATTATTCGACTAAAATTTTAAAATAAAATTTGTTATATTAAAAAAGACTTCAGATATTTTTAGTTAAGAGATATATAATGTCCGATTCAATTATATTAAAAATTTTATCTATTAATATATTGGTAGAATTATAATAATAATAATTTAATTGTGTTAAAATTCAACAAACGTGTTATATTTATAAACGAAATAAATATTTATAGTGATAAATTTTTTTAAGATAATTATAATAGTAAAAAATTCAATATAATTTTGTTGTATTCTAAAAAATATACATATCATTCAATTTTTGATATAATTTAAAAAAAAAACCTATTGTCGTATATTTATCAAGTAATTTTAGACTCAGTTCTTCAAAAATTAACTAATACTTTTTAATATATTTTTTTTAATCTTACAAAGTATTTATTTATGTTAAAATAATTATAATTAAATTTCACAAAAGATAAATAATTCGGACCACGTTTGATACTATTTAAACATTTTTCTTGTGAGAATAAAAGTTTTAATTAAATAATTTATCTTATATTTAAAAGGAAAAAATAAAAATAAGCTTCGTCAAATTGTGGGAAATGGGTCCCACCAAAGGAAATAAGCAAACAAACCTTTTTATTTTTTAATTCTCGATAATGACGATTAGCACGTCAGAAGCCAATCTAGAACAAAGATTATTATTTATTTATTTATAAATTAGAAAAGAGAAGGTAATTAAATAAAAGTCACGAGGGTATTTTGGTAAAATGACGGAAACAAAAATGTTTGATACGCGTTTCTATGAGGCCCATATTCCATTTCCATTACCGACCCCTCAATCCCTTCAAATCCCCCCCCCCCCACAACTCTCCGCTCTCTCTCTCTCTCTCCCCCCGGAAACGCTCATTCTCTCTCTTAGAAAAACAGAAATTTCCCCCTCTCTCTCTAGAATTTTTTGTTCTCTCTCTCTCTCTCTCTGAAATTCAGCAGGACACGCCGGAGAAAAATGGCGCAGAAGACCGAGAAGGAGGAGACGGAGTTTAAAGTTCCTGAAACTCTGACTCTCTGCGTCAATAACTGTGGCGTTACCGGCAATCCTGCAACCAATAACATGTGCCAGAACTGCTTCAACGCCACCACGGCTACCTCATCATCATCTACCATCACCACCGCGGCGACGACAGCTGGTGGCGTCGGTGTTGGTGTTGGAGGTGGAAACGGCGGTAGCGGGATCTTGAAGTTTTCTTCCTGCGAGAAAACTGCAAGATCTACCTCGTCTTCTCGTTCAACAGACAGGTCCGATTCGTTTACGACGACTAGCCGGAGCATTTCGTTGGATCGGAGAGAAGGAGATGTTTCGGCGGAGAAGAGGATCGTGAACCGGTGCTCCGGATGTCGAAGGAAGGTCGGGTTGACCGGGTTCAGATGTCGATGCGGAGAGCTATTCTGCGCCGATCATCGGTACTCCGATCGCCACGATTGTAACTTTGATTACAAGGCCGCCGGTCGCGAGGCCATCGCCAGGGAAAATCCGGTCGTCAAAGCAGCAAAGATCGTCAGAGTTTGATTCGTGAAGAAGAAGAAAGATACGAAACGTTTTTCTTAAGCTGGAAAAATTCGAGATCGAACTCGATCTCATCTCACACGTCTGTTCCTGTTCTTAAAAATGATAATATTTTCATTTTCAGCAAGAAAATTAAGAGAGAGAAGAGAAGAAATATTTATTTGGATCGATGATTGAATCTAGAATTTCTCTCTCGTTGTTCGTGTTCGATCGATTGAAAATTTTTTTCTTTTTAGTTTTTTTTTTTCTTGTTAAATTATTGAGAAGCTAAAGATTATTGTGGCGTATACTATTATGTTGAATGAATCAGAATTTAATTTTTCAATTTCCTCTCTTATAAAAAAAAAAAAAAAAAAAAGGGGGCCCATAGTGGCAATCAAATGTAAATTTGATGAGTTCTGAGGATTTTTTTAGTCATTTCAAATACGGATATTTACAGTTGGAAGGTTTTGTAAAGTAGCTGGGGCCCACATATAATGATTCGTGCTTTACTTATCGCGAGAAATTACTTTTAAATGCATATCGCGAAAAGTTTACTTCTCCGAGAGGAGATGAGTGTTGTTTTCATGATGATCCATTTGGATGTTGACACGTGTATGGACGGTATAACGGGCGGTACCAAAAGCAGAAAGGCTGTGAAAGGTGGTTGTGACTGGGAGTGATTGCGTGAGGCAATTGGTTTTCGTGAAGTCGTTTTGATTTTGATCCAACGGTTGACGTCGCGAGTAAGTGCGTAAAGTTGGACGTACGAAATTCGGCGCGTGTCATTCAGGCTAAAAGTTGGTGGGGACCACATGGAAGAGTGTCCTTTCAGAGACATCAAAAGCTGAAGAGCTGTCAGAGGTTGCATTAGTCCAGAAATGTTTATTATGATTTTGGAGTAGGTTCCTTTTTTTTTTTTTTTTCTTTTTCAAATTTATTTTTAAAATATAATATCCCACAAAAAAATTAAAACTAATTAATTTGAATTAATAATTTAATTTGTTTTTAATTTAAAATAGTTAAAATTAAGTTTAATTATTAAGTATAATATGTTAATATATGAATATTATATTTTAGAATGCAATAATTGGGTTTATAAAAAAAATACATTTATGGTCGAATATGCCACAACTAATATTATTTTATATTTATATTAATGATTTTGATAAATGTTTTTGTTTTTAATCCTAAAAATGAACATATTTGAATTTATATAATAAAAAGTATGAAAGTAGTAAATGTACCATCAAGGGATGCCTATTTTCCTATTTTGGAATTTGAACTCAAATTTCTCTTATGGCTATTTTCCCCTTTTTTTTTTTAAAAAAAAAAAATAATTTTATTATAACACAACATAATTTTATAATTATCTAGAAAAAAATAAGAATAAGAATTTGTTGGGTTAAGACCTTGTTAATAAATATCTAGGTTAGAAATAGATTGATGTGAAGTATGGTTTTGATGTAACCTAAATATATGTTTGTATTAAAGTAAGAAATAAAATCTATTACAACATTTGTTAAAATTTTTATATTTTATTTAAAATTTATAAATTTAAATTTCATAAATAATATAAAATTTATTATTTTATAAGTGTATTACTATTGATAGTTGTAGATTTATAATATTTTATCTATAAAATTTGTAATTTAATTTATTAATGATTTTTATTTCAATGTTGTAGTAATTAAATATTTTTAATTAATATATTCATAATGGATAAAAAGCCTTAAACATAATCTTTTATAGTTTCCGAAAAAACTAGAGAGTAAAATCCACATTAATGGTAAATGGTAAATAGCTTGGATTGCAAAATTCCTTCAAGGACTAGAAATGCATCTCCAATTATATAATTATTTATTTATTTATTTATTTCCAACCCCTGAATTATATAATTAGATAAGTGGTCCCCATAACTTTCTCCTATAGTAACAAAATATATGTGGGTGTGTGCATATATATATATATATATAGAATATATGAGAAGTAAGGAACAACACAGGTGAGGATTTTAAAAACTTATTTGTCATTATAAACTAAATTTCTAGAAAATTTAAAGAAAAATTAACGAAATTAATGAATATATGAAATATAACAAATGGAAACAAAAATAAATTTTGAAAAAAAAAAAATTAATTTACCACAAATATATACAAATAAATGAAATGGGTAAATGTTTTCAGAACATCATTAATTAGAATAGTATTAATAGTATAAAATAATATAATTAATTAAATGACATATACAAATTAATGAAGTGGGTTCTCATCATTGATTAGAAAAGTATTAATATTACAAAATAATATAATTAATTAAATGACAAAAATAGAGGCTTTATTTTTTATATTTTACAAATAAGTATATATATGTATATATTATCAATACGTGACAATTTATGATGGGGACCATCTCATAATTTTTCTTTTTTTTTCTATTGAAAGTGGAATTTGGTAGCTTGGAATCATGACATTACAAAGATTACCAATAAAATTAAGATTACAAATTCAATTATTTAGAATGTAGAGCTACGACTTTTATGAACATATTATAAATTAATGATATTTAATTTATAATATTTAATTTAATAAAATTATAAAATTAATTTATTAATGTTAATAGAGTTACAGTAACTAAATTCGATTAATAATTTTTAGATAATTTTTTATAATAATTAAATTTATTTTATAATAATAGTTATAATATGTTAAAAAATTTTAAAAATTAGTAAAATAGTCTGATTATATTCTAAAATTTATTTTGCAAATTATATATTCAATTATTATAATTCAAGCAAATAACAAATTATATATATATATATATATAAGTACTTGTTATCTCTTTGCAAATGATATGAATCAGTTTGTATATCAAATGAAGTGATCTGATCCAAACAAACATTTTTTTCTTATCGATCGAAAGCTTTTTAATGTGATAAGGAACAACAAGCATCTGGATGACCTCAAACTATGCGAAAATGGCAGAGGCGTTAGAATCACAATTTTTATGAATAGAAAAGAGGTAAACTGGCTTATTGATTCCCTTAGAGATTTCTACTAACTTAAAAGGGGGCCACTTAGTGCAAAAAGATTGTGGGGAAAACAAGCACAATATACTTGGTACTTTTAAGAAACTGAAATGGTAGAACATTGGTACTATCAGAACAAAAAGAAAAACTTTACAAACGTGTGTTCATCCTAGAAGGGTATCAGACAAGAGAATGGTGGTGTCTTATGAAAGCGGTGTTTGAGCTAACCGACACCCCATTGGCTCATCTAGAAAAACGTGGATCGAACTTGATTGCTTCAAATCCCCCTGAGTTAGGCTTTTTATCGAAGAGTACCTCATTGTTTATAAGATTTCTGCATTGAAACGCTGGCCAGCAGAAAAAAAAATCCTTCGCATAAATCGTTCAGGTGGAGAAGCCCTATTATGGTTGGTGGAGAAGATAGTACCCTACCTGGTTAACACCTGAGTGACTAAATTTGAAAATCAAAAGGGCACAAAGGCGGGAAATAATTCTTCAAAGCCTAATAGTGAAGGTCCATGCTTTGCACCCTCTTAGAAGCCCAAATTTACTAGAGAAGAAAAAGAGAAATGGATCGCAAACTCTGGCTTGCATAAGGAAAATAAGAAAAAAAAACCCTAAATTTTTATGGTAACGGAAGCCCAAAAAGAAGCTATCCCCAGAAAAGCTTCCAAAACCTAGTTTAGATGAGAGAAATGATGATGCAGACTGCTCTTATCCTCTTAAAAGGAATGAAATATTGGAGTACATAGAGGAAGATGAAATGAAAGACAGAGAGATAGACGAACAAGATGCTGCTTGTCCGGTTTGTCTTAAGACCAATGATTAAATTGATAAAAGTGGGTTTCAAAGAACCAGACGACTTCGAATCTCCCTCCCTTTAGAATGTTACAGTGGATTACAATGTTCTAGAAGAGCAACAAATCGAAATTGTATCCTTAGAGGAGGAACAAAAATCACCTTTAGAAGGTATGACTCCCCCCTCCACTAGCCTTGAAATTACTATTATATATGAGACATGTTTGGATAAAGCCCAATAACTATTAACGTTGAGCACCCGAAATAGGTCTTTAGTGTAATGCCCGGAAAGAAGGGGGGAAAAAAAAAAAAACGCGCGCCACGTCAGCAGCTACGTCAGCAGACCCAGTCAGCAGTTCTGGCCAACCAGGACCTGCCACGTGGCAAAACCACGTCAACCGGAGACGGGCCATGTTGGCGATCCGCGTGCGCGCGATCGGACGGCCCAGATCAATCGCGCGCACGGACGGTCCAGATGCAATCGCACGGACGGCCCAGATTCAATCAAAAAACGGACGGCCCAGATTAAAACAAAATGAACGGTTGAGATCAAAAGGCAAAAGGGTATAAATAGAACCCCCACACCAGACCCCAAAACCCTAGCCGCCTGCCCTCGCCGGAGAAGACGAACCAGAAGCCAGCCGCCGCCGCACCGGGGAGATTTCTGACCGCCGATCGAGGTAAATTTCATACCCCCGACTCGTTTTTCCACGCTGATTTCTCCTGTGGCCAAATCGGAGCCAAAATCCCAGCCAAACGGCCGAAAAACACGGCCGAAAGCCAGCGGCGCCGCCGCGCCCCTCCTCGATTTTTGCCTCCGATGAGGCCCTTCCCGGCCTCCGTTTGATGCAATTTTTATATCACCGTGATCACCATTCTTTTCTCTACAGGTTGACCGGAGCCGAATCACCAAAAGACAAACCTCGCCGGAGAGCCGCCGCATCCGAGAGCACCGCCGCCGGTAAGCTTCGGTTTTCTGTAATTTTTTGGCCCCCCGAGGGCCGTAGGTTTGTTTATTCACAGAAACTAATGCGAGTGTGGCCGAATTCGGCCGAAAACGGCCAACCCGAGGCGAATCGCCGCCGCATGCGGCGGCGCCGTCGCCGGAGCACGGCGGAGCCGTCGTGCCGGAGTTGCGATATTGGCCGAAAGGGGCCCTGGACCTAATTTGGGATTTTTTGGAACACGTGCAGGTACCAGTAGTGCGTTTCAGTTCCCCGGGAAAAATTCAGGAAAAATTGGGGACAGCTTGTAGGCGCACTGTGAAGCCGTGTTCGGACCCCTAAACGAGTAAGGACCCCTCACCCTATTTTCTATCACGGTATTAAAGTTCAATAAATGATAAAATGGTATTTCATGAATCAACGAATGTGTGAAAATTGTTTAAGGTCACTAATGGAGCCCGAGTCTAGTGTGTTTGTCGGTTAACTGTGATTTGGCCTGTTTTACAGTTTTAAATGCAGTATGAGATCTGATGTTTTCATTTTATAGTTTCGTGTGCATATTTTACTGTTTTATTG